GCTTGTGTGTGCGCGCATGTGTGCGTGTGCGCGCGCGTGTGTGTGTGTGTGAGCGCGAGCGTGTGTGCACCCGGGCGCGCGCGCGAGGGACAGCCGCGGGGACGCGCCTGGTGGATTTCCTTCTTCCAAGTGAGAGATCTAGGCAGCCAGAGTTGTTGTTCTACACGCATGCTTTCTGTTGTAGAGCCTTGCATGGACGGGCAGACACACCGAGGCGCCAAGGCAGTTGTCACTCAGCCCCAATCATGTGGAAAGGGGCAAATGAGTGACTTGTTTATAAAATCCACGTAGTAAGCCCCCGGCTGGAGCCAGCCCTGCTTCTGGACACTTGTTCCAACTCTCGGCCAGTCTCCACACACCAACAGCGAAATCCGGAACCACAAGACAGAGGCACCCCAAAACTCGGAATGTCATTTCATGCGCTGTCTATAATGATTGTTGTTATTAAGGGAATTATTGTTTTTACTTACCCTGGCAAAAAAAAAATGAAAATAAAGCAAGCAGGGACTTGGAGGTGAGACTAACATTACAGTTTAACAGACTGTTTTGAACACTAGGTGCTAATGACAGCGGTAATTAAGGGTCCTTCGCAAATCGAGTGGAAAGATTGCAGATTTCATGGACTAGACCTATAGGAAAAACACAGCATTTCACAGTTTGTCATGACCAAAGCAAAAACAAGGAAAAATAACAGGCTTACTTACCTTATTGCTAGATACATTTCTTTCTGTTTAAATCAATTCACAGAAGTACTATCCAAACGGAACAGCGACCACAGAAAGTGATCTAAACTCTCCATCATCTTCCCAGATATTGAGTATCTTTAAAAAGAAAAAAAAGAAAGATAAGTAACAACAGCAACTAAGGATCAAATGTAATATCCTTGAATCTATCCTTGAATCCATCGCATCTACATAAATTTTTTAAAACTAAAATGGCGAAACAGTGGTTCTGTGATCATCAGTAAGAGGACAGCATCTTGATAGCGAGCTGTTATAATAATAAGGCATTTTGTATTAGCTTAATAAATCTTATAGAATTAGTTTTTAGGGTAAAAATACACCCCAATTTTCTAAAATAGCCAGGAATAAAAGAACTTTGGATCTCATGCATTAGTCATGAGAACTGATTTAAACCATCTTCATTTCTTGGCATTGCAGATTAGCATAGGATGCTATTTCTAACCTCATAATGTCAGCAATAAGAAGCTATATTTTTCTTCAATTAATCAGGTCTATATGGTGAACTGTATCTTTAACATCCACAGGGTCACATGGGAAAATGGACAGCAAGATATTGATTTACATGGTGTGAGGTTTCCTCTGAGTACTTAAAGCAGCGTGAGCAAGCAGCTTTGAGTGAAGTTGCCACACTTTTATAGAGGGCGGCTAGTCAGCTTATAGCTGCCCGTACCATAAACCCCCTCCTTCAAGTCTGTTATAAAGTGAAGTAGTTTTAGAGCAAAAATTGAAACTTTATAAAGACATTCAGGACATTATGAGAAAAAGCCATTGCGACCTGGCCTTTGTCTTTTTCACATTTTCACTAAACAGTATCTCTATTAATTCAGGAAGCACGTGCTTTCACTGCAGAAGGAAGCTGTGACTCTGTCCTCACTGTATTCTCAGCTGGCCGAAATTCTTAGCCCTCCTCCTGAACAACTCCCCTCCCCCCGGGCCTTCCTCACCCTAGAGGACCCTTAGTTACAGGAGCTGAGAGTTTGAGGGACTGGAGCATTTGTTCAGTTTTGAGGCTTGCGTTTCTTGCCGTAGCTCTTTCTTGAGACTGAGTTACATTTTTCATTGAGTTTATCATCTGAGGAAAAAAAATTACAGTAGTAGAAATGGGCATTCCCAGCAAGCCGCTTACCTCTCCTATCATGAAGGGAAACCAAAACTGTACAGCATTTGCATCCTTCCCTTTGGGGAAGCAGCAGGTGGAGGAGTGTGCGCTGCGGCTTCACCCCCAAGTTCAGCTCCCCAGGGCAAGTGGGGCTATTCTTGTACAAACACAGTTGCTGTTGGCCAGTTTTAGCGCATGAGTGGTCAATACCCCCACAAAGGTGTTTCGTAGGGACAGCTACACACACACACATCTTTTGTCTCTTCAAGGTGGTGGCGACAGCAGCCAGGGCCCCAGGACCAAAAGGAGGGGGTGGAAGAAGCGTGTGGCTGTGTGACGGCAAGTGGGAGAAGCGTGTTTCAGGACACGGACCGGGCAGCACCCCACAGTGACATACTTGTTGGAAAGCCATCCTCACGTGCAGGCCGACTGGAGGGAGAAGCAGAAGTGAACGCCAGAGCCACAGAGGTCCCGGCCTGGACTGGGGACGCCGGTCTGCTCCCGGGACTCAGGAGAAGCCAGGCCTTTCTTTTCTACTGGCTGCCTGAGATTCTTAGCGGAGCTTCCTCTCAGGCTTGCTGCTCACCGTGCCAGAGAACTCCCTGAAAGTCACAAGAGAAGCCCAGTTCCAGGGAAGCCATTGTGGTCCTTTCTCCCTGCCGGAGCCCCGGAAGCCAGACTTCCGCAGCTTCGCGCGCGTCTTCGGAGCCCATGTTTGATGCTGGACAATGTGAAGGCATCGGTGATGCCACAGTAGTGATGAGAGGAGATGCCGTGACTGCCGCCCAGCCTTTCATGACACCTGCTGGATGCCAGAGAGGGAAGGGCCGGATGGCTAAGTGCCTATGCCAGGTTGCTGGGGCCCTGGCACCCAGCCGGAGCAGTTCTCAAGAGTTGGCCCAGAGTCATTTTCTTAGCCCAGCACTGCGTCTTTGTCCCACGTCCACTGGTAGGGCCCAGGTATGGGGGTCTAGAAGAAGTTCCGTGTGGAAAGTTCAGGGTGTAGAAAAGGCCTAGGCGCCACTTTCATTACTGTAGATTGATCAAACTGGCTTCTGAACCAAATCCTCAAAGAGCACTTGGTGGCCAGAGCTGAGCAGAGTGGCCAGTCCCAAGTGCCCAGCAGCCGCTGGGCTGTGCCCTCAGTGGCTCAGTTTCCTGCAAATCTACCCTGAGCTTCCGTGCACCAGTGCTGGGAACGGCAGAAGTGTGTATAGAACACGGCACAGGACCAGCTAGTTGCCTGCTAGACACTGGACAATAGATGTGGGGATGAAACTAAAATGGAGCCCCCGAATGAGGCTCTGAGTATGTGGGGGGTCACAGGAGGCCGCTCTAGGACCCACCCTGCGGTCTGGGTAGAAGTCATCCAGCAGACTTGGGTGGCCATGAGCTGAGGAATCGCTGGAGCTAGGCCTGAGAGCTGTGGTTTCAGCAACTCCACCGTCAGTTTCCTCTGCTGGGTTGTGACCATCAGAGTGTGTGATGAGCACTGAGGCTGAGGCTGGGAGAGACGCAGGAGCCAGCGGTACAAGGTCCTCCAGACCGTAGCCTTGAGACGGTGCTGCCCTCGATGGACACAAGCCTATGTGTGCAGTCTGCTTTGACATGCGCGGCTGTAGTTTTTCTAGAGTGTTCTGGACAACCTGGGCCTAGGAGATATTTCAGCAGAAAAGCTTCCAAGCCAAGTATGGAGATGATATGTATGCCTCTCCCTCTAGAAGATTCATGTCCACGTTGAAGACCACAAGAAGCCTTGCAGTGAAGCATGCTTAACTTGGTTTCAGCATTGCCAAATCCTTCATGTCCCACAGAACAAAATGCACTAGAGGAGAGGAGAGAACCAAAGGCAGCTATGAATCCACGTAAGTGCACAGCAGTTCCCTGGGCAGGCCGTCTGTGACAAAGACCTTCCTGCCTCGCCCCTGCCCTGCCGGCTCCCAGGGCTCCAGACCCTTCCTGAACCTGCCTGGATGGATATAAGAGCTGTCAGGTAGCAACCCAAAGGCTAAACTCCCAGTAGGGTGTATATGGCCGCCTGTGCACATATTATAGTGATATCTATTTCTATATAATAAAACCTCCTTATTAGGGAGAAAGGTCAGTCTTAACTTAACTGAAAACCTTAATTGTATAATATCTTTAAAGATCTAGAGTTTCATTACTTTTGAAGCATGCTCTCTGTCTAGTCTAACAATTACTGGCTGCTTGCAGCTATTTTAATGCTCTCCATCCACCTGTAACAGTGGTGTGTAGCTGACATCCCCCCCACCCCCGACTTGGGGTTTCAAAAGTTTGTTCCCTTAAGTCTTTCAATATTCCTAGCAAGACTGTTTACATTATTAATTTTCACATTTTATTAAGAAGGGTTGCGCTAAACCCTAGACCACCTCATAAATTTTGAGAGGAATATGAATGAATGGGGTTTATTTTCTTATTCATGTATTTTAATATGGGTATAATAGTTTTATAGTCGTTCAGAGAAAGGTTATCTAAAGTCCACGGCAGACACATTTTTGCAAAGCCTTTCATTCTGCTTGACTCTCGGAGCTGAATTAGTTGATAATAAAAAGGCATCTGCCTCGAACAAGGTCTGACTTTCATGTCGGACCTAGAATCCTTCTGAACTGTGGGAGCTATGAAGGCCTATCCCTGGCCGAACAACGATCACTAACAACTGGCCAGAGCACTGACTGAGCACACAGTGTGGCCACAGAGACCTGCGGGGGTCGAGAGTGGCCCTGGGTACTGCTGTGGAGGTCAACATGTTCTAGTCCCAGGTCCCCTCTCAGTCCCACTTCACTTATGAAGAAACAGAGGCCTGGAGTGCCTGAGGGGCTCCCCAGACC